AAAACTTAAAAAAAAAAAAAAAAAGAGTTCGGTGACGTTTATGTTCTGGCCTTTGGCACAAGTGTGTGTGCCCGCCTAAGTCCTCCAGTGTGGCAGTGGCTTTGCCATCCACCTGCTGTGCCGCACAGGCAAGTCCTTTAGCCTCTGCGTGCCTCTTACCGAAGACATGGAGACAGAACACCTACTCCCTAGCACATCGTGGGAACTAAACAACATAATATAAAGCTCCTAGAACAATGGCTGATGTACACGGACACTATTCAGGTGCTTGTCACTTGTGCTAATTCTTTAGCTCCTACCTCACCTCTCTGCCGCGCTGTCCCTCCCTGCCAGCAGCGCCCCACCCAAGGGCCTTCAGGCAGCTGAGACAGCACCTCCCTAACCTGTAGGCCTGGCCCACCTGGGTTCACAGTCCAGTCTTGCCCCCATGACATCACAGAGACCCTTATGACATCACAGAGACCCCCATGACATCACAGAGACCCACCATGACATCACAAACCCTTATCCTGTGAAAGCGCGAGTGAACTGATGAATTCTACCCCTTCCATCCCCAGTTTCTTCCATACATGCCTGCCAGTGGGCCCCACACACCTAGATTTGGCAGTCAACTGCCACATCCCATTGTGCAATTCCTAGACACTAGCAGGAGCTGTCACAATGGCCATTCTAAATTGCAGAGGCCTCTGGCGATGCTCCTTTGGAGAACCAGGTGGTGGCTGCCCTCAGTAGGGCCCCCGCAACCAAGAACCAAAATGGAGCTGGCTGAGGGCAGCGCTCACCTTCCTTGGCCTCTCTCCCGCCCATCCTTCATCCCAAGCCAGCCCCTCCCCACACCTGGTCTGCCTCTGTCCAGCTATGTGTGAAAGGGGAGGGAGGTGCCCACAGTGGCAGGGAAGGGAGGGGCCTTTGGCACTATAAATTCCGAAAAGTGCTCACCTCCCAGAGCCAGGTCCCTGAAAATCTACTCTGTCAGCTGTTGTGGCCACTACCATTGTGAGGCTAGGCGCCATGAAAGGCCTTCTACTGCTCACCCTGTCTGCTTTGTTCTGCTGGGTCACAGGTGAGTCTTGGGGGCCCCAGGGCCTGGGGTTCATCAGTGAGGGCACTGACCCCACGCTCCTGTGCTCTACCCTGCCCACCATCCAGGGTCCCAAGCACCCCTAGCCCCACCTGACTCATTTGTTCTGTGCCTCCTGGACCAGACCCTCTGTGACAGGTTCCTCCTTCCATTTCCCTAGAATCTAGGCTCCATCACCACTATCCTCAGCCCCAAGAGAGACCCACTCTTCCTACCTGCCCTGGCTCTGTCCTATTCTCTACCTCAAGGTGCCCTGCCTTCTTCTTCTTCTTTTTTTTTTTTAATTTTATTTATTTATGTATGTGTGTGTGTGTGTGTGTGTGTGTGTGTGTGTGTGTGTGTGTGTGGCCAGCTCAGCGGGGCTGGCTGGCATGTGGTGCTGGGGATTGAACCGCGGTCCCTGTGCTTTGCTAAGCTTGTTCTAAGTAGGTGCTTTAGACCACTGAGCCATCTCACCAGGCCCCTGCCTTCTTCTTGGAAACTGATGTTTGTGTCACAGTCCAGCCCCCTCCAACATGCAAGTCCCCCCCTTTTATCTCTTGCTCTCAGCAGGACTCCTCAGACGTAGGCCTCCAGACCCAGGACCCTTTGGGACCTCCACCTCCCTAGCGATTCCAAGGTAGACTTGGTGCTCAGCAGTGGCCCCTCCTAACTCTTCTTTCCCGAGCTGCATACCCTCATCCCTACAGGGGTGCGAGCTTTCTGTATGGTTCCAGTGACCATTGCTGGGACTTCCCATACTCCTGGGAAGCCTGGTAGTATACCTGAGATTTCAAGGGAGGGGGCTGGCCCAGTCACCCTTAGGTGGGTAAGTTTCATTGAGGCATACACACCAGCCCCCTCCACCCTCCACCACCAAGCTTTGCCCATCCAAACCTTAAATTAGGAGCAGGAGTCTGAGGGCACCACCTTCTGCACCCACCCATGCAGGAGAATTAAAAGTCTGAGGCCAGCCTGAGCTTCACAGGTGAGGTGCCACCTGCCGGGCACTGTGCCTCCTGCCCAGAGCTATAGCAGAGAGACTTTTACTAAGGACTGCCTCTTGCCACGCTCCTGCAGCCTGACACTGGGAAGAGCGCACCCTCCATGCTGGGTGCGCTGGCCTCGGTTCCACGCCATCTCTGACTGCGGCAGGCACTGCGGCCCCAGGACCTTTATTTATTTATTTATTTTTGCGGAACCAGGGATTGAACTCAGGCCCTTGCACTTGCCAGACAAGCATCACGACCTTTATTTTCCACATTTCTTCCTGTTTCTTCTTTCCCTTCCCCATCTTTCTCATTCCTTCCTCATGACTTCTTCATGCCCCAGGTCTCCCCTGCCCTGTGCTTTTGTTGGTGGATGTGTTCCTCTTGACTCATCCCAGATGGCTGATGGACACAGTGGGACAAGAGCTGTAGGGTGTGGGCCAGCCAGGCGGCACCTCCACCCTCACTCCCGCCCACCTGCGGCTCGCAGTATCGCACCTGTGCTCTCCATGACCAAACAGGGCCGGGCCGCCTGACGGGCTCTACTCCAACCCCTCACCCCAGGCGGCTCAGAACTGGGGTCACCTCACGCTGTCGCCCTGACTTATGCCTCCCCAGCTGACGTTCGCTGTCACTCCTGCTACAAGGTGCCTGTGCTGGGCTGTGTGGATCGGCAGTCCTGTCTCCTGGAGCCAGGACAGCAATGTTTGACAACTAACGTGTACCTCGGTAACGCCCTCCTCTGAGCTGGGGGAGGGGCAGGTGGGAAGCCAAGTCTGGGCCTGAGGTCCAGCCGGGGCTGAGACTGCCGGGGAGAGAATCACAGCAGCAGTAGTGTAGCACTGACCTACAGCTTTAGAGGGACTGTTTCTCGTTTGATTTGGTTTCAGTGTTTTGACGGAGGGTCTCTATATGTAGCTCAGCTGGCAACTTGCTGTGAAGCTCAGGCTGGCCTCAAACTTTTAATTCTCCTGCCTCAGCCTTCCAGGTGCTAGGGTCACCGGCCAGAGGCACCATGCTCACCTCACAGAGGCATTCTTTCAATGCTCATGATGACCAATATTATTGCTAATATTATATTAACAGAATAATCTCAAAAAGAGATTATAGGGCTAGGGATATAGCTTAGTGCTGTGGTGCTTGTCAGGCTTGCCCCAAAGGCTTTGAGTTCCTTCCTGACTCCAGAGTGAGAGGAGGGGAGGGGAGGAAGCAGAGAGGGGGAAGGGGAAAAGGAGAGGAGGGGAGGAGGAGGGGAAGGAGGAGGGCAGGAGGAGGGCAGGGGAGAAAGGAGGGGGGAAGGGGAGAAGAGGAGAGGAGAGGAGAGGGGAGGAGAGGATGAGGAGGGGCAGGAGAGGAGAGAAGACGGTGGAGGGAGGGCAGAGAGGAGAGAAGCAGGCAGCGCAGAGCTGCCCTGGCTCAGGCCTCCCAGCCAGCAGCGGCTTCAACTAGGACTGGATCCTGGATAAGGAGACGTGGCCTAGAAGCACAGGATGCAGAGTCTTGTACCCTCCTAGCTGACACCCGCACCCCCCCTAGGGAAGATGTGGGTGTTCTCCAACCTTCGCTGTGGCACACCACAGGAGCCCTGTCGTGAAGAGTTCAATAAAACCAGCCACAAGTTGGGCCTGAACTACAACACCACCTGCTGCAGCAAGGACAACTGCAACAGCCTCGCACCCCGGCCCACCCCCGCCCTGGTGCCGCTGCTCCTCACCTCCTTGGCTGGCCTTGGCCTCTGGCTGCTGCACTGAGGCTGCGCCATGGCTCCCCCTCCTCCCACTGCTTGGCCTGAGCCTCTCACCCTGTGCCCCATGGCCCCTGGCTTCCCAGGATGGTCTCCCCTGGCCCTTCCTATGAAGAGCGGGTCCCAAGTCCCCTCTTCCATGCAACAGGGCTCAGTGTGACCTCCCTCTGCTCTATCTTGCCTGAGTCCTCTCCCATTTCTCGCTGGGCCATTCTGGATACTCCACTGGCCTCTGAAGGGCTCCTCACCTTGTCCTGTGCCCTCGCTCGGGAGGAACCGGGGACCAGGGCCTAGAGTGGGGCTGCCGTCCTGTCCCCAGTACAAGTCCCCAGGAAAGACCTGATGACCTCACGTCCCCAAGGGCTGACTCCCCAAACCATCTACTTCCATTTTGAGTAATGTTTGTGTCTAATAAATGTGCGTTTACTATGAGGAGACCTCAGTGTCAGGCTCCTTCTCTGGAAACGACGCTTTCAGTACCCTGCCCTCCTTCCCCAGCAATCCTCAGGGGTATTTCTCTGGGAGGCTGGATTGGCAAAAAGAAGAACAGGTTTTTCAGGCCTCCTTTCTCCCTTCTAAAGTCTGGGGGTGGCACACAGGCCCCAGTGTTTGGAGCAGCAACTCTTTATTCTAAACTGAGGCACACCCCTGGGATTCTGCCAAAAAGGAGGTGCGGCCTGGCCTGAGGCTCCCCAACAAGTGGAGAAGGGGTGCAGGAGGCCCAGGTTGCTTCCCTTCATCCTTCAGGCAAGACTCTGAGGCCACACCTGGCCTGGTCACTAACTTGGGTATCCAGGCAACCCTCTCAACAGGGACTGACACTTCTCAATTCACAACAGTCCTACCAGGAGCCAAGCTGCAAGTGGGGTGAAAAGGGGCAAACAGACAGACAGCCTCATGGGGTCCTGGTGACCCACACACAGGCCAGAGCTTGCTGACCCTCCCCCGTGAGCTTAAGGAAGCATCCCCCCAGCAACACATTCCTGCAGGCAGATCCATCCTCCTCCTCCTCCTCCTCAGGGGCCTGGCTTGAGCGTTTCCTTTGAAACAGAGCCTCCTGATGGACTGGGAACCTTCAAACCGGACGCCGGCTGCCCTCACATGACCGGTTAGCATTCCCATCAACAAGAGAACCATGGAAGTTTTCCAGGCAGCTGCGGAAGAGTCACAGCGTTTAATGGCTCACAGAGGAACGCTTATCTTCTCATCTCAGATGCCCAGAGCCCCCTTTTCCCCCCACGCCCCCACCGAGCCCGCTACCCAACCCACAGTCCTGCCAAAAGCCAGGCCAGGGTGCTGACTGCAGCAGCCGGGACGCAGGCGGGGGCCAGGGTGCTCGGCCCGGCGCTGTTGCACAGGTCTCCGACGCAGCAGTCCCTGTGGGTCGTGAAAGTCAGGTCACCCACCGACTCTGTCTCCACTTGATTGCAGTGGTGGATGGCCACACAGGCTGGCTGGTGCTGCCTCAATGTCACTGAGGTCAAGAGAGAGAATGAGGCTGGGGTGGGATCGCTGCCTACAGCACGGGCATCAATCTTGCTGCATGAAATAGATAAACCTAAACGGTAGAGCAGTCTACACAATAAATTTAGCAAGGTGTGGTGGTGCAGGCATGTAATCCCAGCACTCGGGAGGCTGAGGCAGGAGGACAGTCTTGAACTTGAGGCCAGTCTGGGCTACATAGCAGAGACCCTGTCTCAAAAATAAAATAAAATATGAAATAACTTAACAGGATTCTTCAAAAATGTCAATGTCAGTGGGGTATGGTGGTGTGGGTCTGTAAAATCCTAGCCTTCGCGGAGGTGAAGGCAGAGGATTTTAAGTTTGAGCCCAACCCTGGGGAAATAAACAATTTAGAGACTGCAAGTGAGGCAGTCTCTAAAAAACAGGGAAATACAAAAATTTGGATGCAATTCCAAGTACTGTCAAAAATTAATAATAAGCAAATAAATAAATCTGTCAAGGTCATGAAAAGCAAAGGCAGCACCCCACGGTGTGGAAAGGGCTCAGAAGATGGGAAAGCTAAGGTGAAGTGGGATCCTGCTTCGTGCCCTGAGCCAGAAAAGGGCAGGGGTGGGACAACTGATTCAACAGTCTGTCGGCTTCGCCGGCAACATTCCACCTCCGCCACTTTGTGATACTCGCAACTGCTCCGTGAGACGCTGGCATTCTGCGAGGCTGGGTGAAGTTCATAGTCTCTGTACTACTTTTGCAACTTTTCCGTCAACCCCAAATGATTTCAACATAAACACACACGCGCACTACACACGCACACCACGCACACGGGAGCTTCCCCGGGCCTTGGCCAACACCCGAAAGCCGGGCCCGGTTTTCTCTGGGCGCGAACCAGCCCCTAAGGTCCCTCCCGGGCGCAGAGGACCGGCTGGGCTGCTCGGCTCGGCGCGGGCCGACCGCGCTCGCTCGGGGTCGCCGGGGCCGCAGCGCCATCTGCCCGGACCCCGGCCGGGCCTGGGGTGGCCGAGGAGGCTGCGGGCCGGAGGGGCGCGGGACTCACGGTTCAGCTTGAGCTGCCCCAGGCCGGCCTGCGGGGTGCGCGCCAGGAAGCCGCAGCGCTCGCCCTCGCCGCAGGTGGTCACGCTGTGCGCGCAGCCGCCGCCCGGGCCGCCCCCGCAGTCGAAGCACCGCGCGCGGGACCCTGCGGAGAAAGGGGCGCTGCGCTCAGGGCTCCGCCGCCCGGCGGGTCGGCTCAGGCCTGCGCCGGCCAGGCGGCCTCCCCCTTACCGAAGGCGGCGCCGAGCAGGGCGCACAGCAGGATCGCGACACATCCACCTCGGGGGCTCATGCCTTCCGCCTGGGTCCACCGCGCCTCGTCGTCCCGCCCACCCCTCCGGCCCTGCTTGGCCGCCTTATATCCCCCTGGCCTTGGGCTTTACGGGCCCATAAAAAGGCTGGAAAGAGTCTCTCTCCCCCGGCGGGGCGGGGTGAGGCCCCGGGTGCTCGGAGCATCTCAGAGTCCGAACACCTCTGTCCGCAGTGGGGCATCCAAACCCTCCATGGAGTTCCAGGCGTCTCCTAGGACCTGCTCCAGGCCCCATCATCTGAAGCTGGGTTTTCTTCCTTACTTCTGTCAGATTGACAAATCCCTATAAACTGTTGTGGATAGGAAAACCCACATCTTCCACTATACCTGAAATTAAACAGATTGGCAAAAATGAAAAGGGATGCCGCTCTTCTCACTGAGCAGTTGGGTATTAATAGTTATTTTCTGCAAAACTATGTTTCACTGACATGTAATACTTTTACTGTTTTGATTGTTAAGTGAATCAACCAATGCCTTTCCTGTTTTAATTTCTAATGTAGTAAATACTGATCGAACCCACACGAAGGAAAGCTCTTTGGTGTGTTCAGCAGTTTTTAAGGGTAAGAGAGAGAGCTGGGTGTGGTGGTGAACACCTGTAATCCTAGATTCCCGGGAAGGATCTCAAGTCTGAGGCCAGCCTGGGTAGCTCAGCAAGACCCGGCCTCAAAATTAAAAAATGAAATATTTAAAAGGGCTGCGGTCCAGTGCAGTGTTTGGACCCTTGCCTAGTTTGGGTGGGGCCCTGGACTCAGTCTTCAGTACTGAAAAGGGGTGGAGGGAAAAAAGAAGGAAGGAAGGGAGGGAGGGAGGGAGGGAGGGAGGGAGGAAAGAAGGGAGGGAAATAAGATTCTGGGAAGAAATTTTTTAAAACTGCTGCTTAAACACCTAGCTCCCTCTGTTCCTAGTGCTGTGTGCATGATTCTGTGAATGGATCCTAGGGCCTCACAAATGCTACACAAGTGTGACACTCCCAACCCTGTCCCCAGCCTCCCAAGTCCCAGTCTTCCAAACTGGGGATCCTGTCCCTCCCTTCCTTACTGGTCTGACCTCCTCAGTGCAACACATCCATCGCCAGCCCTGCTTGTGACTGCTTCTCCCCTCCAAGGTAGTAAAGCCTACAAGGATAATTATGGGGTGGGAAGGTTGAGGCTTGAGGGGATCAAAGGGATCTGAAGCTGGCCTCAGCTGGGCTTTATGGGTGGGGGTGTGTGGCTGGGTGGGATTGTTGGTTCCACACTCTAAGATCTAGGCCAGGGCTGTTTGGGAGCAGGACTTGGGGGGTGGCAGAGAAAACAAAACACAGCAGAGGCAGCCTGAACAGCTGAGGCACGAGCCGAGGCGGGGGAGGGGAGCAGCAGGGAAGGCGACAGACGCCATCAGGAGCTTCAGAGGGTGCTGAGCACAGAAGACCCTCCAGGCGAGGGCAGGGAGGGGGCGAGAGACAGGAGAGGAGGGGTGCAGGAGCAGAGGGCCGGCCCTGTGAGTCAGCCTAGGGAACGGATTCTGTCACTGTTCCACCCCCAGATCCTCTCCCTAGGTGTGTTTGTCTGCCGCTCCCTCCTGTCAGCTCAGAGGCTCTGCTCAGCTGGCGTGCAGCTCACACTCCCCAGGCTCGGGCCTCCCACAATGGGGGTCTGCAGCGCCTTCCTGTGCCTCCTGTTCCTCTGCGGGGCCCTGGGTAAGGGTGGGTGGGGTGCTCTCCGGGCAGAGGCTGGACCTGGGGCCCACGGAGCTTGAGAGATGGAAGGGACAGGGAGCTGGCCAGGGCTGGGCCGGGCCAGGCCGAGAGGGGGCCCCTGAGGACCGGCCTGCCCCACGGGTCAGTGCAAGCAGCGAAGCTTGAGCTCACTCTGCTCTCAGCCCTTGCTTCCACTCATCCCCCTGAGCTTCTGCCTTCTCTGCTGGGCCCCTCCCAGGCAATTCCTGGTTTCTCATCTGCCTGTGGCACCAGCTACTCCGCTTTCTCCTTCCTCGCTCCATCTCTGCACCCATCTGTCCTTTGTGTCTCTCACTGTGCCGCTCAGTTTCTCTTGGCTCCTGTTCCCATCTGTGTGCCTCTCATGCCCTGTCTCCCTCCTGCCTCCATCCACCTCTGTTTCTTTTACCTTCCCTGTCTCTTCTGCCTCTTTTCCTACTTCCTCTGCCTCACTTCATGCCTCTGCCGGTCTCTGTGTGGGCCCTGCCTCTGGCCGTCTCCTGCCATGATCCCTGCTTCCCCAACAGGCCTCACCACTCCCCCTGCCCGTGTTCGGCTCCGCTGTTACACCTGCAGCTTCGCCAAGCCCTGCGACCCTGTTCCCAAGGAGTGTCAGGACGACGAGGCTTGTGGCATCAGCACTGGCACCTCAGGTAGGACCCTGACCCGAAGGCCTCTCCTGTCAATCTCTGTGTCCGTTCTTCCTTGCTTGCTGCCCCACATTCCTCCTTTGTCCCACAGACCAGAATGAGGTCATCCAGCGGAGAGGCTGCCTCCCAAGGGCCCAGTGCCCTCTCCCAGGCCATGCCACCTACTGGTCACGCTCCTACATGCTGCGCCATCAGTGCTGTGAACAGGACTTGTGCAACGTGGCCTCCCCGACACGGCAGCTCCCCAGCCTTCTGCTTGTCACCCTGGTCCTGCTTGTGACCAGCTTCACCTGGGGAGGCCGCCTCCTCCACTAGAGCCTGTGGATCTGGGGCCCTCAGGACAGGGATCCTCCACTCTCACGTGGGCCTGCAACCCCGCACAGACACCTGAGACTTGTCCAAGAGCCTGATTTTGTACAAAGACCTTAGGTCCCTGGGCCTGGCAGCCCTGCAGATTCCTGTGGGCACTGTTCCAGTCCCTGCAGCTATCTCCCAGGGCCCAGCCTGCCCCCTCCAAACCTATGTTTTTTCTAGATGCCTGGTGCTGATGACCCCTCTCAGCCCCAGGTCCCTGGCAAAGTAGCCACTGTGATGAGGTTGTGGGTCCCTGGCAAGCAGGCAGAAGGGGCCCTGGGAGGATGCCAAGGAGAGCCTCGCTGGGAAAGATGTAACCTGGTAGACTGCGGACTTAGGAAGGAGAGCCTTGGCTTTACAGCTATAGAAAGTATATTTAATAAAAGGGCCATCTGGAAGCCTGCTGATGCGGCAGTGTATATATGTGTGAGCACGTGCATGTGCATGTGTGTGCGCGCACATGTGCGTGCACAGGTGTGCTGGGTAGAGTAAGCCATAGGTGCCTGGTAGGCCGGGCTAGCTGCACTGCCGGAGCCAGAGCCCTGCACCCGCCTCATTTTTCCAGCTGTATCATTCATGTCCTCTGCCTGTCAGTGTCTTGGCTCAAGCCACTGCAGTGTGCAGGCTCTGGGCGAGATTTCCGAGAAAGCTCCTCTGTGTGAGGCTGGAGCTAGAGCCAAGACTGTGAAGGCTGCCTGTGAAGGGCGTGGACTGGAGTCCAGCTCACTCTGCCCAGTAGGGAGGTGGCCTGTTGGGAACACCAGAGCCCTTCCCCACCTCGCCAACCCAGACTCATCCGGGGCTCCAGACAGGACCCCGGGGAGCCCCGCACGGCAGCCCCTGTGGGCGCAGAGAAAAGCAGACCTCTGGGTGCAGGGCAGTGGTGAGCCAGAAGTCAGAGGCAGGACGCTGCCCAAGCTCTGGCTGCCGCTGTGGAGCACAGGAGCAGGGAGGGAGGGGAAGCGTGTCTGCCTCGGATAAGGAGCAAGCCCTGGGGCGTCGCAAGCGCCCCCTTCCGACTCAGCTCCTTCTGCCTCCCTCTGAGGAAGTCTGGGGGCTGATTAGCGTGCTAGCTCCCCTCAGCGTCTCTCCTTCAGGAGGACGCCACTTAGGCAGCGGAAGGCCTGGACACTGTGGACTGTTTGTTTTCTCAGTCCTGCACTTCTCACACTCGTGCCTCCACATTTCTCTCTTTGTCTCCGCCCTCTTGCTCTGACTTGAGTTTCTTCACATCCCTCTTCCTCAGTTACCCAGAATGCGTTGTTAGCTCTCCCCGCGCCCGATACCTCCTGTTGTCCACATGCCTGGGTTTCTTAATCTCTCCCCTGCCCACCCCACCCTTTCTTACCCACAACAGCCAGCCCAGGTTCCCTGCAAGGTCAGAACACTTCATGCTCAGCACCCCCCTCCACTACCACTTGGAGACAGGAGACCACACCTTTTTGTAAGGAATAACATGGAACAATACAATTCCTTTCCTTCAGCCCCTCCCATCCCCCCCCCCACAGTTTGGTGGCTGCTGAAGGCCAGCTGGACAGCCAGCCCCTCCCCCGTCTCATCCTCTATGTGCCAGATGGTGGGAAACCAGCAGGTCACACTTCCCAGCAGCAGATGTCACCAAGATCATCTGGTCTTGTGGGCAGGTGGGCTGTGGGGTTTGCAAAGCAGGGAGTCAGATTAAGGACAGCTCTTTTCTCCACCTCCTCAGGAACTAGTACCCCATCCCCATCCAACCCCATCACTCCCCACCCCCCACCTTTAAGTCTGTGTCTCCTTTTGTTCCTTACCGGAGATGGGCCAAGTGGATATTCTCATAGACCTGGATTTCAGGTTTGAATTGAGGAACTGAGGCATCTGGGGAGAAGGGGCATCAGGTGTACAGAACAGAAGTCAGCAGACAGATCAGAACTGGGTTCCTACCACCCCTCCTCTATCAGGGACAGGGCAGAGGCCGGATGTGGGAGAGAGTCTCACCTGGGCCCTGGACGCCCTGGGCCCTCCGCCTCCAGAGCATGATGCTGAGGGCCAGGATGGTGACTCCCTGGCCCACCGCGAGCAACAGCATCAGGACCCAGGGTACATCCCACCCCGTGGCAGGGCCACAGACCGTGGGCGGTGGATCCATGGAGGCTGGGAAGGAGAGAAGCAGTAGGGGCCTGACGCTGAGCTCAGAGAGAGGCTCCCCCAGTCCAGGTGTCTCTCCTGCGGAAGACTTCAAGCACTGCCCTGCCCCCAGTATCCTCTTCCCCTCTTTGCTCCTTTCCAGGGTCCTCCCCGGAACGCCTATGCCGACATTAGCAGGGAACGGCCTTGCTATCCTGCTGCACAGGGACCGTAACTGCAGGGCGCACCTCCAGCCACCACTGCCTTGGTTGGAATTCACCTTTCCAAGAAAAACTAAAGCGGTTCCCACATATTTATTCCTCCACCCATTTACTCTCCAAGCATTGCTGGGTCTCACTGTGCGCCAGGCATTATATTTAGTGGTGAGGCCATAGAGGGCAATATCCCCCCAGCCTGCTCTCTGGCTTCCTGAAATAGCAGGCTTGTTCCTCCTCACTGCCCATACACTGCTGCTTGACGTATGGTGTTTCTTCCTTTACTACTGGAGATTGAACCCAAGGCCTTCACGCATAGCTATATTTTCAGCCCTTTTTACTCCTTTATTTCGAGACAAGGCCTTGCTAAATTGCCTATTCCAGGCTCAAGTCTGTGATCCTCCACCTCAGCCACCCAGAGTTTTGGGGCTGCAGGCATGCACAACCATCCTGCAGTACCAGGGCTTTAAATTTTTTTTTTTTTTTTTAGCTGCAGAACAAATCCTTCTACCTCCACTATCCAAGGGCCATTGTAACACCAGTACATACATCCTTTGTTCAAATGACAACTCCCTTCGCAATAATTTTTATGTTCTTCCTCTCTGTTATGGGACATTTCACAAAATCATAGATTGCCCTACTTATAAACAATGTTGTATTCCGCTAAAATAAAGTCTTGGCTGCTGGTCTGTTTCATCTGGAAACTGGCTTATGCACCCCCGTTTTGCTGTGGACTCAGTCAACACAAGCAATGGTCTGCTCCACCAACAATCACCTCCAGGCTGGCCTGGTTTACCGCCTCCTGCCTCCTCCCCCAGCCAGCAGGAAGAAGTCTCTCCCTGTCTCCTTCCTCATTTTACCTGCCAGGCTGAAGCTGATGACTTTGTCCTGAGGCATGAGGCAACGGATGACCCTTGGTCTTCGGGCCCTGGGCTCAGGGTGTCCTTCCCTGGGACAGACCAGAAGCAGCGCAGCCCCATCACCCCAGAAGGGCCGCACATGCCCTCTTACGGGCCCTGAACCCTCCAGCCAGATGACAGAGTCCAGACGCCTGGCAGGGACCGCAGAGCACAGGAGGACAGAGCAGGATGATCCATCTGGAGCCCTGGCTGAGAACTGGGAGCCTGAGGGACAAGGGCTGTGAGCGCCTTCCCTGAGCCTCCCCCAACCACATGGCCCCGGACGTCCACAGCACATTCACCTTGGAGAAATGAGACGTCATACACCCTCCAGTTCTGGTACTTTAAGTGCGGACCCTGCACGGTGCACCAGTACCGGCCAGCATCTCCGTCCTTGACCTCCTCCAGCCACAAAGAGTGATTTCCCAGGAGTTTGAGCCTGGAGTCCCTTCTGGTTTGCCCCAGGTGTGGGGCTGTGCTGGGCACCTGGACCTGGGCCACCAGGGTTGTGGATGTGCCTGCGGCAGGGCTGTAGAACCAAGACAGGAATCCATCCCCACGCAGGACACGTGGCCAGGGACACGGCAGCTCCACTGCTTCCCCGAAGACCATATAGACGGCCTGGATGTTGTCTGCAGGGAGATGGCAATGTGAGGCCAGGACCTCTGTCCTACAAAAAAGCCCCCATTGACTCTAACCCGGCTCCACACCCCTCCGGGGTCCCCCTAGCACTGACTTGGCTATGCACGTTTCTCAAGTGACGGCTACCAAAGAAAGAGAAGTGGAGCGAGTGAGGCTGGTCCTTCCCTCTTCTCCAGTCAGTGAGAAGAGCCTTAAGTGCCAGCGTAGAGTGAAGTGGTTGGCAGATGCCTTCGTACATTTATGCACTTGTTTTTATTTTCTAAAGGAAATGGTCCTCTGGGTCTTCCCCAGTGTTAGAGGCACGGAGAGGCCCGATGGGGAAGTCCGTCCTCTTGAGTCAGAACCTCCGCTCCAGGCCCCTAAAGGGAGGCCAGCCTCCCTCCCCAACCTTGCAGACAGCTGCAGGATCTCCCACCCCCTGCTCCTTACCTACGGCGGCCTGGGAGGGGCCACAGAAGGACAGAAGGAGGGCGAGTAGAACAGCCATGGGAGGGCCTGCTGCGGCCTCTCGCTCCAAGGCCTGCTATTCCCCTGGAGGAAACAGCCCAGATAAAGGTCCACACTGCCGGGGCTGGGCAGCAAGGACTTCTGATGGGACAAGAGTCCTGAGGGAGACGCGACCCAGTTGCATGTCTCCTGGGGGGCGAGGGCCACCTTTCTGTTCCAAGGGCTGGGACGGGACCAGGTCCAGGCTCCTCCCAAGGGGAAGAAGGCCTAGCTGCGCGCTCCCGTGAGTCCGGAAGTACATTCTCTGGTCTCTCTTCCATCCCTGAGAGGTCAGCCCTGAGCCCGGAGCTGCATCTTCAAGAAGCCTAGCGCAGGACTGTACGCCCAGGTAGTGGTCCAAGATGATCTGGAAGAACCGCGTTGCCCGGCACTCCGCAGAGCTCCTCAGGGCCCTGGGGCAGCACAGTGTGCTGTTGCTGGAGGTGAAGGATTTGCCTTGGGGCCTGGATTATTCACAGATTCATCCCTCTTTTCTAGGAGGACAATTAGTCCAGATATAATAGCATTTAATCTCTTATTTATTTACTAATAAATTATTTTTGCAATTGTAGGAATTGAACCCAGGGCCTCACACATGGTAGGCAAGTGCTGTACCAATGAGCTACACATTCCCCCACCTTTCTTTCTTTCTTTCTTTCTTTTTTTTTTTTTATGTCTTTTTTTTTTAATATTTATTTTTATTTTTATTTATTACATTTATTTTTTTTATTGTGTGTGTGGCCAGCTCAGCCCACCAGGGGGCGGGGCTGGCTGGCATGTGGTGCTGGAGGATTGAACCGAGGTCCCTATGCTTTGCCAAGCTTGTTTCAAGTAGGTGCTTTAGACCACTGAGCCATCTCTCCAGCCCCTCTTTCTTTCTTTCTTTCTTTCTTTCTTTCTTTCTTTCTTTCTTTCTTTCTTTCTTTCTTTCCTTCCTTCTTTCTTTCCTTCTTTCTTCTTTCTTCCTTCTTTCCTTTTTTCTTTCCTTCCTTCTTTCTTTCCTTCTTTCTTCCTTCTTTCCTTTTTTTTTTGGTATCTGGTACAGGGTCTCACTACACAGCTCAGACTTGGACTGATCCTCCCGTTTTCAGCCTCCCCAGCGCTGGGATTACAGGCGTGCGCCACCACGCCTGGTCTCCTTGGCAGGCTCAGCATGCCCAGAAGTGGGGCCGGTGCTGCATGTGGTGCCCAGGATAGAACCCTAGTCCCAGCACTTACCTAAGCAGGTGCTTCTCCCTTGAGCTATCCTGCCTGCCCTTACATCCCCCACTTCACTCGTGCCTAGAGACTATCTGAGGTGCACCTGGACAATGCACACATTCACACCGTAGAATGCTGGACAACAAGAGAATGAACAAACCGTAGTGCCTTGCGGCTGAGTAAGGAAGCCAGACACAAGGAATGTGCACTGTATGATTCCCTTTTTTTTTTTTTTTTTTTGGTGGAACCAGGGATTGAACTCAGGTCCTTGTGCTTGCCAGGCAAGTGCTTATTCTACTGAGCCATCTCCCCAGCCCCTATGATTCTTTATATAAAGTACAAAAATACTAGCTAAAAAAAAAATACTACCTAAACTAATCTTTGGGGTGGGCAGCTCAGACAGTGGCCAACCCTGCAGAGTGGACAGCAACTGCCACAAATCCAAGGTCTTCCGGACATTGTCATGTTTTGTTCTTCACCTGGGTACCAATTACTTGATATATTTACACTGGTGCATTTTCTTGTGTATGTATTTATTTCAGTGAAAAACTTGAGTTTATATATTATGTAGGTACAAGGCACAAAGAAAAATAAAACAAACCTGAGTATTAAGAAATCGCATATTACCTGGTGGTTATGGTGACACAGGTCTGTCATCACAGCTACTCAATCCAAGCTACTTGGGAGGATGAGGCCAAAGGGTCACAAATTCCATGCAGCCTTGGCAACTTAGGGAGATTCTGTCTCGATTTATAAAATGAAAAGAGCTAGAGGAGTAGCACAGTGGTAGTGTCCCTGGGTTCAATCCCCAGAACCCTCTTCCTATACACATTTTAGTCATAAATCTTCTATGGCTTGGGCGTGTGTGTGTGTAAACAGGGTCTTGATATACAGTTCTGGCTAGCCTTGAACTCAACTCATTGCCTCAGTCTCCCAAGTGCTGGAATGACCAGCACATGTCACTATAGGTAGCCAAGTAAGGTAGAAATTAGTAAGAGAGAAAGTAAATAAATAGATCAGTAAGCGAGCCATCCGGGGATGGTCCTTTGAGGGTGGCAGTGCAGAAGATGAGAACACAGCAAAACTGTGGCTGAGGGTGCACCGGAAGAAGGCCAGGCCTCACGATGAAGGTGCGAAGGCCAGGTCTGCAGGCCGGAGAATTATACAGTAACTAGCGCCACTTGGTCCGATAGGTGCAGTCAGGCGTTAGACATCCAGGGGGCAACCAGAACACCAGGACCTGTTCCTTCTGAAGATGTTTTTGCTCTGTGTTAGACATTAGATAGACTAGGTTAACAATGCTCAGTTTACACCTTGCTATGTTCTAGCCTCCCCACTGGGTCAGCATTAGCTAAGCAGCAACACTGTAATCTTATAGGTTGATTATAGTTGGAGCCATGTTGTACTCACCTCATGATTTTGCTCTATAAAACATTCTTGGAAAAGTGGCTTCAATGTGAACTCACTTTGGGGATCCCTCCTATCTCTCAGGGGCTCTTAATAAGCCTTCCCTACTGTGTGTGTGTGTGTGTGTGTGTGTGTGTATGTGTGTGTGTGTGTGGCAGGCTCACTCTGCCCTGGGGGTGGGGCCGGCACAGCATGTGGTGCTGGATCAAACCTCAGTCCCTGCCAGTTGCCTAAGCTCGCCCAAGCAGGGGCTTAAAACCACTCAGTTGTCCCACTGGCCCTCCCTTCCCTACTCTAAATGTCCCTTGTCCTTTGCAACTGATTCGTTGGTAATGGGGAGGGCACAAAGTCCACACGTCTGACATCTATCAGGTTGGGAGTAACATTTCTCCTGTATCAACGTCACCTGGCCAGGGCTCATTCATTTTCTTTTTTTTTTTTCTTTTCGTAGAACCGGGGATTGAACCCAGGTCCTTGCACTTGCCAGGCAAGCGCTTATTCTACTGAGCCATCTCCCCGGCCCCTCATTCATTTTCTTTTCTTCTTTTTTTTTTTTTAATTTTATTTATTTATTTGTGTGTGTGTGTGTGTGTGTGTGTGGCCAGCTCAGCCCACCAGGGGGCGGGGCTGGCTGCCATGTGGTGCTG